TAAAAACTAAGCTCAGAATCGATTCAAGAGAGAATCGTGATGCCTTCGCAGAATCTCAGAATCGATGCAGAATCATTTCTCTATGTATTGATTTATTGTCCAAGCCCTAGTAAATTGGGACACTTTGTCATTGAGCTGACTGGGGAAAAAAATGCTCAAATATATCCTAACGTAGGTGATATTAAATATTTGTGTCTTGAGTAAAAGCATTTAATTTGGATGTTACCCCTCAAGAAACATTTTTTAGGCTTTCATAACAAAACCCTTTTTTTTTTTTGAGATGTCAGTCTTAACATATGGCGTTATAATACTTAAACACTACTCATATTGACTATCATTTTAAAGAATACTTATTAATTTCTGGAGCTTGACTGCATTAGTCCCCATTCACTTTCATGACTTTGAAAACAGCAGCTAGGTCATTCAGCAAAACAATGAAAGAATTTGTAATTTTTGGATGAACAATCCCTTATTTAGAAGGCTTGTCTCCATCCAAACACCTTCAAACCCCTTTTCAAATAGACTAACACACCATCAACACAACATTCAACTCATGGGTCTTTTGCACAAGTGAAACAAAGTCAACACTATGACCCAATAAATGCAGTATAGACAAAGGCAATATGGTTGCGTTCATAAGTTCCCCGTGTAGCGACCCTCCATCTCATTAATAGAAACTCAATTTGCGGACAGCTGCACACGCGCACACATTATAGGAGAATTGATTGCGCCCAACACACAATGAAAAGGATGAACACCAGGGAGGAGGAGGAGGAGGGTAAAAGAGAAGTGAATTAATTACGAGAACCAGGTGGTCAAATGGCTTGGTGGAAAATCACAAGCTAATGACACATATACACGCACATACGATCCCTCATTAAAAGGCAGCTTTTGTCCGGGATCGGCGGCTCGCGTTGACCTTTCAACAGATCGCAGGTCACTAGCGATCCATAAGGGATCAATTTCACCGCCGACTGTACGCGCGCAGAATCTGCGGGGAAGTCGTCAAACCTGTCGGGTGTTTTCATCTCGAGTTCCAGTCAGACGCTGTTTGACGGCGATGACTTAATTAAGAGGGCGCTGATTATCTATGCTAATGACGAGGTAGCACATTAATCCAATTCATTTATCTAGTGGGGCCTCAATCTGGCAGACGCTCACTGAAGACCAAATGGCTTCACAGAGCACATGGGCTCCTGATAACAAACATAGTATTTGACCTCTAAAGCCTTTTTGGCCCCATCTAGCAAATCCAGAGGAGGGAAAAATACTTGCATAATTATAGTCTTATTATCAGTTTGGTGCATATTTAGTGTATTATTTGAATGGAAATCGGCAAAGAAAATATTTAGAATCATTAGATGTCGACAATTTCAGCCACAGGGACCCCTGCTCTACTTTCTCGTTAGAATAACGTTCATTAAGTACATTACGTAATCACCAACCTATTTAGTAAATGCATTTATGCTTATTAATTTCAGCAGATGCTTTTATCCATAGCGAGTCATTAAAACTACAAACTAATACCGCAACGCCAACCTGACAACTTAAAAAAAGGTGCAAGAACGCCCAAACAAATGCTATTAATTGACACATTACGTGCATTTTTTTTTTCTAGTAAAACTGTACGTGTAACATGAGCAGAAGGTGCAATGCATTCTATCACATGCGATTTTCAGCCGCACAGTTGCCGCTGTTTATACAAGTATAACGCAACAAGATGTAGATTTGATCTAGCTGCTGTTGCACAGTAATTCCCCTCACACAGAACTTATGAAGTATCAATCAAACAAACAGTGTTTTTCTTGAGTGCCTCCATACTTCTCGTCCTCACACAGGTCTTACCTCGCCTGGGCTTCGTCGAGACTCTCGTCGGTGATGGCCATGATCTGCTGGAGAATATCCCCTATGTCTTGCTGCGGCTGACCGAGGGATTGCTGCTTCCGAACCGAATCGGGGTCACCCACGTCGGCCTGAGAGAGTCCGCCGAGTCCGCCCATGCCAGCCAGCATTCGGGTCTGATCATCCATAATACTTCGAGGCGAATCTCGCCGTTTCCCCGCCGCAAACCAATGAAAGCGTGTTTCAGCGCTCGGTCTCAGCGACCATGTAACTTACCACCGACGGCGTGAACACAAGCGTGGAGCCGAACGAACCACTAGATAAGAAAACAACGAGAGTGCGACTGAAATGTGGGCTTTAACCACATGAAAACGACGCGCGGTGGATGGATAAAGGTGGATAGCCGGTTCGCATGGGGGGTGAAGAAAAACGATGTTTTAATTCTAGATTATCTAAAGCAAAGCCCTGCACACTAGCACTCCCATAAAGCACTCCAACAAGAAAATAAAAGCGTCCCTGGAAACATTAAGTATCCCACGCGCGGCATCTCAACGTATCGCTTCTCTAAACAACTCGCAGTCCGCGATGAAATCATTCACGTCCAAAAATACACGAACAAGGGGCTGTTGCCGCTGACAGCTATTACAGTAGAAATCTCCGACACCACTAACAAGCTACACTAAACCAACCAGAGCGGCTAACAAGCTAATAGAGAGGAGAAAAAAAAAACTCAGCTGACAATAAATCGAAATTGAAACTCTAGCGTTCGCTTATTAGCGTCCCCTCACTTGGGAAAAAGCAAAAACTCAACGGGCAAAACGAATCCCGAGAGCGGCGGACGAGCGTAACCGCTTTTTTACACGTATTTCCGAGATCTCCGACACAATTGATTCGCAGTGTTGCTAGCTGCTTAGCAGCAGGGCTAACTAGCATTCGAGCTCTGCTAGCAACAGATTCATACGGGCTTCACAAACCCCCGGGACCAACAGCAAACTGCCCCCCCCCCCGGCTCTGCGCGAAATGCCCCGGCTTAGGTGGACGGCTCGAAACGGCTCAGAATGGCAACGCTCAGCTCCATGCCAGCCAACTCGACTCAGTTGGTTTGCTCCCAAGCCGCGGTGCTATCGTAGAAAGACTTGCCCCTCTCTTGTGTTTCTGCCCTCCTCGGCGGCTCTTTCTCCCCCTCTGACTCTGACTCCGCGTTCACGCTGCTACATACGAGCCCGTGCGTCATCCTCGCGCACAAGAGAGCCGCTGCTGAACGCGCGCACGCCTCACACGCTTGTAAACAACTCGCGCGTCTGTCAAACACCTCGCACGCAGGTTTTTCGTGGAAGTGGCTTTTGTTTAGTAACCATAGCTGAACCGAAGTATTCGTGCAAGACCATGGTAACCAAAGGTAAAACAATGAACTGCGCCTCATTGCTGTGCTTCGATCAGCGTAACTATGCTTCACACAAGCTGTTGTATTTAGAAGCCATAATCACGATTGGAAATGGATTCACTCACTCCCCTAATGGGTTATTAAGAATGAACCCTTTAACAGGCCTGCGAATAATTGCAGTGCTACTGAAGTAAAACCATGGTAAGTGTATGTAAGGGTGATTTAAGTGCAGTGACAAGTGTCCAGATTCTATCATCGGCGTTTCAGTGGATGTTTTTGTATTTGTGTGAACCCTTGTGACCCAAACTATTTCTGTTAATATCATTTCACAAAATATGAAATACCTAGAAGATGCAAATCGAGCCTACCTGAATGGTTGCGAAACCAACATTCAAAATGTCTGCTGATGGTGCTATGCTTCCTGTTCTGGACAAATAACAAAAACTTTCACTTTATAACATGTCTTCGGGTAAATTGCAAGCTACTGGTGTATTTACGTTGCACATTATAATATTTAGCTGAGGAGCTGTTATGAATACTCTTTTGGTCATTTACAGGCGTATATAAAGAAAATTGAATTTGTTTATTTTTGCTCTTAAAGAAATAGTTCACGCAAAAATGAAACTTGTGTTATATACTCACCTCGTGTTGATACAAACCTGTGTGACTGACTTCTACACCAGAGGAAAACAATATTCTCTTTTTTTATTTTTTGGTCCATAGGCCTACAAAGGAAGTCAATGGGAACCAAAATTGTTTAATCAACATTCTTCAAACAATCTTCTTTCGTGTGCCACAAAAGAAAGTTGTATTCAGATTAGACATTTGGTGTCTCTACTACTTTTTACATTTAAAAATAGCATTTTTTTGGTTACTTTTACCACTGGGCCACAGGACTGGAAATGTGGAGCGCAAAAGATATTTTGAAGAATGAAGAATTTTCTAAATGAAACCGTTTTGGTAACCAATGCAGTGTTGGGGTAATGCATTACAAGTAACGCAAGTTACGTACTTGGATTACTTTTTTTCAAGTAACAAGTAAAGTAACGCATTACTTTTTAATTTAGAAGGAAATATTTGAGTTGCTTTTTCTAAGTTAGTTTTTTTAGGGAGTAACGCAACATTGTAATGCATTACTTTTAAAAGTAACTTTCCCCAACACTGAACCAATGACTTCTATTATATTGACAAAAACACTGAGCTTTTAAAAAAAAAAAAAAAATCTTCTTTGTGTTCTGCAGAAGAGTAAAATACTTTTACACTTTTTGGTGAACTAAACCTTTAAAATATGACAACCTGTCTAGTGTGTGCATAACTTTATGCATAAGAAAATAGGTTAATTACCAAAAAGGTTTAAAAAAAAATGTATTCTACACACACACACACGTGTATGCTTATTACAAATACCACAACAATTTCAACCAGTTACTGAAAATGGAGCATGATTTAAAGGAACAGTGCACCCAAAAAAATTCAGCCCCGAAGCAGGGGTTTGAAGTTAAAAATGTCTTGATGGATTATTTTATTGCAACCATGCAGCTTTTCACTTCTCAAAACATTAATTGATGGATTGGGGTCGTGTGGATTACTTGTGGATTACTGTGATGTTTTTTATCAGATGTTATTATGACGGCACCCATTCACGGCAGAGGATCCGCTGGTGAGCAAGTCACCCTCAGCCCACAAGCGCTGAGCCTCATTTTCATCTAAATAAGAATCGATCCCTCTTGCTGTGCCACCCGCAGTGCTTCTAACGCTTAACCTCACTCTCCTGCTACACCACCTCCATCCCAAGCTGTCTGACTGGAGATGAAGGGAGATTCTGAAATCCAGCCCTGGAAGCTGTGAGAAAAATAAGCAAAAGCCAGTGTTTAATGCAATAAACAGGGCTAAATAAAAACCAACTGGCACAATCAAGGCAGCTCCCCTTGGACTGTATTTCTACATCGTAAGTAGTGCTATTTTTCATACACCACATTTGTTGCTGATGTTTTGCACATGATTTTGTAAGTAAGATTTGTGTTTTTGAAAAGCATTTATTTAATTAAAAAAATGCAGTACAAACTATAATATTGTGAAACATTACAACAAAATACGTTTTCTATTTGTATACATTTTTACATAAATGTAATTTATTCCTATATTTATGCTGATTTGCAGCTCAAGAAACATTTCTTATTATCAATGTTGAAAACAAAGGTATAAAGTTACTTTTTAAAACTCGTACTAATCCCACACTTTTGGACGGTAGTATCTCACCTAGTCTGGTGCTGGTCTCCATTAGCAGCAGCTGTGATGTTTCATGGAAAGACAGCAGTTCCCTCATTATACAACACTGCGAGTCCATCTGGGAAGAACGACAACAGCACATGACCGCAGCTCTCAAAACAGGTTTTTAAAAGAACATGACAAATAACCAATTCTCTCAGATATATTTATGTAAAAATGAAACCTACTCATTCTGACCTGTGCTTATAAAAATACTTAAAATAAGTGATCATAATAAATTATTATATTTTAAAAACGTATTGCTGACAAATGGGTAAAACCTTGTGATTTGAAGCTTTTTGTTACACTGAATAACATTTTAGTGGATGTCTTCTGTAAATAAAGTATTCATAGGGAAAAAAAAAACAGGGCACAAACTAATGTATGAATTTTTTTTTTTAGCTATATTAAAAGTTTATTGTTTTGATACTTTTTTGTTTCTGACCCAGTTATATCATAATGCAACATTTACTTTCGGCTCACAGCCCTCAATTTTATTTTTGGCCCTTTGTAGTAAAAAGTTTGGGCCCCTCCGGTATATAGTTGCCATAAAATGGTAAAGAAAACATAACATTTAATAACAAAAATGTTAACATTCATAGCAAATATAAAAATTGCTAAAATCTTCCATTCCTTTGTGATGAGACTAGTGAAAATGTTGGCAGACCTAATGGCCTGACTGATTTCTATGGCTCTCTGATCTGAATGGATACTGTATTTGAGTCCTGAAGTCTAAAGCATCACAGTCTCACCACTAACTCCATGTTTCTGAGTAGTTTTTGCTGTCCCATGAGTACCGCCTTATAGTCAGGTTTGTTTAGAATGAGCTGACTCTGTGAGGACTTGGCAAAGCATGATGGGTCCAGTGGCACCCCCTTCTCTTCACCCCGCTCCACACATCTGCAATGGGACAGAGATGTACAGCTAACAACCAATTCAAAGAGAATGAATCCGAGCATCCTTCTGTATCCATATGTGTGCTGGTCAGGGTGGGAACTACGGGGGAGCCCGGCTCCCCTTAATAAGACATGGGCTCCCCTGAAAACGGGATTTGTGAAATTTTGGGGGGTCTCAAAAAATATTGACAATGTGTTATTTTGACATGCAATTTCAGTTTTGTGTAATATTATGTGTAAAATTGCAAAAATATTCATTCATGCATGATGGTGATTTAAACCTAATTCACTTCAATAAAGATAACTATACATGCTATTCTTGTCATGAGCATCAAGGTGTGAGGGCGCTGCGGTGCAAATTCCACTCATGTTTAGTACGTTAACTCAAAGATTCGTAGAAAAAATATAAACGCTGGACTCTGTGGTCGATTCTGTGTTAAGGTAAGGCATGTTATTCGCAATTATGTGTTGTGGCTGTGTTGTTATAGGTCTGTGTGACTCTCGATGGCTTAGGCCTAATTGAACAGAGGAATTATGGTATTCTTCTGTAGCCTGACGACTAGTAACTTTAACCGTTGTTCATGTGGACTCAAAAACAGCCTGATGCTTTGTATATAGACTATTTGTGGGTGGCTGTTTGTTGTTTCACCTAGCAATTCGTGTCGATAAAGTATAATAGGGTAAATCCTGTATAGTGATTTATCCTATATAGCGCTTGCATAAAGCAAGTAGTGCATACACTTATAGCTTTTATGTATCTTTGTAAGTCATTGTAAGCACACAAACCCCCCACAAAAAAAAAAACAAGTGGGCTCCCCCAAAGTCCACGGTATAGTTCGAACACTGAC